CGCGAGGATGGGCGTGCGACATTAATCACCTCCAGCTTGTCGCTAGATTCTTTGGGCCCTTTCAGCTCTTTGGACTCTCCGGGCCCTTTAGGGTCTTTGGGCTCATTTGTATCAGACAGCTCCTTCCCATCCGACTTAAAATTGGTGCTTGAACGAGGCGTGATGTCAACTGGAGGGCGACTATTTCTGCTGGTGCTTCGCGAACGACCGGTAGACTCGTCATCGCCAAGCATTGTACGAAGTGTGTCGGCCACAAATGGGAGGGAGCTCCCAGATATTGCCGATATTGTCGATATACCCCTGGAATGTTCGATTCGGTGAGATTTCGTCGTCGTTGTTTGTGTCACCGCATCATCATTCCACACATCAATCTCAATGCACCGACATCCGTTTTTGAGAACCTGACGATCAGACATTGTTAGCCCTGAGCTCATCTCCAATCTCCAGTAAAGGCACCTACAGTTCTGTACGCCTCCGGCGAGCTTCTCGAGGCGAGCTGGTTTCCAAGAAGATAAGTGTTGTGACTGCTGTTGATGAAGTAATGGGACAGAGGTTTCGAGAGATCTTTTTTGGTTGGCAGAGGTCTGGCTGCATTGCTGAAAAACATGTTCCAAGTATATAGGAAGTCGCCCAGGGAGTAGCTGTCGCGGTCGAGCAAGGCTTTGGGCTCGCCTTGGACATCCCGTAAGAACGCCAAGAACTTCTCCTTGGAGAGCAGCTCGTCTGTGCCCTTGAGGGTCTCGTATAGGCGCTTCATATGCTTATGAACTTCATCGCTCAGGTCGATCATATCGGGGGTGGGAACAATCGTAGAGAGGCAAGTCGAGGTTTCGTGGGGGAGCCGTGGCTTGCGCCATACTTTGATAGCGGGCAGGAACATTGTCGTGATGAACATCAACTCTTTCATTACTCCATTGCTTTCGGGGTTCCGGTGCTCGGTCAACGACATGGTTGGAGCCCGATCGGCTCGTCTTCGCTATTACCAGACAAGGTCAGATTCAGCGTTGCGCCACCAGCAGAAGATTTGGATGAGGAGAACTTACAAACCGGCCGAGATTCATCTTGGGAGAATGTGAAGCGTCGCCCTCCCTAGTAATACAAAAACACATGCGCTCGCGAAAGGAGTTCGGTTTCAATTGCTGGTCAAGGGACGGAGAATGCAGCTTGGCACCGAGGGCTGGAAGAGTCAGCCACGCCAAACAGGAACCGACAGCATACGTAGAGGTGCTGGTGATGATTGACGGGGGGAGGAGGGGGGAGTAATAACTAGCAAAGCAGCGTGCCCTGCTGCTATGTATGCTCCAAGTTCAGGACTCGGGCAGCTCAGCACGATTGTGATTCGCACGGCCTGGGAGGCGGAGGGACGGGGGGGGCGGATTGATGTTTGCTGGGCCCGAGAATGGGGGACACCCTTCCATCGGCCTGCAGCTCAGCTGCAGGTCGCAGATTACCCACTGGTAAGGCTGGGATTGGACGGGATTGGACTGGACCTGCAGGGTGCAATGTGCCACAGGGATCGGGCAGGGTGGCTGTTTGCACCTACTGCGACCTGAGAGACAGGAGATCGCCTCGTCCCAGGAAAACAATCGAGACGCCCGTGGTCAACGGTCAACAAGCTCTCTCAACACGGGCGGCGCGCTGTGGAGAAGGAATCATTAGCTTCGGCAACGCCCCTCCCCAGCTCACGGCCTCGTTAGCTGCTCGCCTGCCGACTTAATTAAATGGAGCTGGCTTTGTTTGACACGGCGAGGCCCTTGCGCAAGCAGTAAGAAAGCGGACCGCGCTCGATCAGGGCCAGCATGAAGGATCGGGACTGAGGAGGCTGAGGCGGTGATGGAATGGCTTAGACGCGGGACGGTCAAGGTAGTGCCCAATTGACCTAGAGCTGGAGCCAGGGGACTTGATTATCACCGCAGATATCCACCCCTTTCGTCTGGGTCAGATCAGGTCGGGTACCTTCAAAATATTTCACGTACGAGTTAGGTAGCAGAGCAGCGCCGATGTTTTCCTGAGGTGAGGCGCTGGGCAAGGACGGCTGGGCATGTACAGCGCATCGAGCGGGCTGTGCTGCCCATATCCACTCCGGTACAGCACTCGCACAGCGGCCTCCATGAGCCCAGGGGCGCGTCGCCAGTGGGTGAAGGACAAAGGATTGCATGGTCTTACTCCATACAGACCGTCCAGAGGTGACATCGGCTGGCTTTTTCTGGGCCAAAAGGCGGTCCTGGCTGCATTGTGCTGACCTACCTGCCGTGTATCCTGACAAACATGCGGGCATCATTCCACTGGCGCTGCGCAGCCAAAGGCGCAGCTCCAGCCGAGGACAGGTCATGGCCTTTATGGGACGAAGCTGAAAACGCTGTGACGTCGGCCTTTGTTCTTGCTCATGCAGCACAGTTTGAATAAGACGCGGCCAGGTGATTGGCTTCTCGCGCTGTTTTTAGTCATTCTTACCTGTCTGTGTCTGTCCTTTTTCCAGGACACCAGCACAAGTCCTACGTTTCCTTTCAGAGTGAGTCTAGACTTACGATGATGAGACGCTTGCTCAGGCAGTGAGAGGGTGGTTGAGCCCCCATTCGTCATGCATAACAACACATCAAATAAACCTCACCAGAGGCAAAATATTGCCCTCGAGCCAATGCCTCTGGTGTTTAGGTTTATACATTTGTGCTCGAGCTGCCCATCTTCAAGGGCTGAAGAGGCGCAGCCTGGGCACCCTCTCCAACATTCAATCCTCAGACTTGTATTGGATTGGCGCCCGTCCATTAAGCCAGGCGTTGTGGGCCTAGGCTAGGGACGGCTAGCTGCGCACGACACGAACGGCGGGTTCGTTATCATTTTAAGTATAGAGTGAGGCGGGCAAATCATCGTCTTTGACATCATCCGGTCATGGGGCAGGCTGTCACAATTGCAGCCGCCCTCAAACGCTGGTTGCTACAGATTTGAGCATCTGCCGTCCAGACTCTTCACACTTGGCACCAGACCTTCTCCCATGGGATGAGCTGTCATTCTTGTTTGGACCTCATGCCGAAATTCCCGCTTTCCTAGAGAAGACTTATCTACATCATATGTACTCGCTTACCCCAGGCTCGGAAAGAGGACACTAGGGAGGGAAAAATACATATTAGACATTCCAGCAGCAACATCTCACCACTGACAATGGGAACTCAAGAAGAGGACCAGGTGCGTGCCTGGGGATTCCACCACGTATTTACCTGGTCTGACGGCCCGTAAGTTCACTGCCTACCGAGACATGCCAGAGTGAGGCCCATGGGCAGCGGGCCGGGCGGTTGGAGACACGGGCGCTTATTTAATTCTTTGTGCTCGACGCAGGGGCTTCCACTATGCACCACATTCCCACGCGAGCTTGACCACTCATCTCATCGTCGCCGGCGAGCTGACTCTCTGGTATCCGAACGAAACCAGCCAGCAGAGGGTAACATATGGGCCCGGGTCGCGCGTCGACGTCGAGGCTGGGCGGGTGCACGAGGTTTGGGTCGGGGATGAGGGATGCACGTATGTAATTGGCGAGTGCTAGGAGGCGGGCTCAGCCGCGGTTTGATGTGACCTCTTGGTCCATGTCACGACTGGCTCAGAGGCGTCGGAAGCAATACTATGTAGATTGTTGTAATGTTCCATGGCATGGCCCTCTCGGGAGGCCGCCGCGGAGGAAATAGAACGCATTGGATGGTATTTAGACCTCAATATAGGCAGGGATGCACCCATCTGCCTATCTGCTCCTTGACCGCTTGCTTGCTAGCTGGGATAAGGTTGGAAGAGTAAGCAAATTTACTTTGGGCTACCGAATCCTGATACCTACCGCACGCGACGTGGAAGTCAAACCCCCAATAATTTCCCGGGGGAAACCTAAAGTGATGAAGGCTCGTAAAACCCAACGGCGATCCCAACAGACAGACAGCAAATCATGTAGATATATGGTGCAGGAAGCGGCCATCGCAATCACAGCCTCTGCCTACCGGCGGCGCACGAGTCAGACTGGCATGATCTCTGACGTACCGATGACAGCTACATTACCCACGGCAATTCAGAAGGACTCATTCTGAAACAAGCTTTTGCGTCCGGGTGCATAATTTACCATTAGCCCAATGCAGAGGGGGAGATGGAAATCTTGGACGGAGAGTGGAATAACCTGATTTTTCAGTAATCACTAGCAGATATTAATACCACGGGCCGATCTAAGCAAAGTTAGGTACCCACAGATATGGGATTTCTCACCTCCTCGAGGCAATTCCGCATCTCTTCCCTGATGGCGCCCGGATCTGGCAGGCACAGCACAGATGGGCAGGGGCGCAGAAGGCCTCCACGGGTTTCAAGTGAGGGGCGTTATTTGAACAGATGTGCGCATCGGAGACGCAGCTGCTCATACGTAGAGAGGATGCCCAAAGGACCGAGGTGAAACTGGAAGATGGGAAACTGGAAATTGGGAAAATACCAGGGCGGGACAGGTGGTCCGGAAGACGGTGCAGATCGGAAACTGGCTTTTGAGCAATAGCGCCAAGTTGAACGAGTGCGGCGGGGAATCGATCACGATTTCGCATCGCATGCAGCCGTCTCCCGCCACGTACCTTGAGCGGCACCTCCTGTAATTGGCCACTCACAACAAGCTTTCAACCTCTTCGATTACGCGGATCAAACATACAGGGAAGAGCCCCCCCCCTAATGGCACGAGCTCCATATCTGTATCTCATCTCGTATGAGTTCCGTATGTACTTATTTACATAGCCCACCCACTCCGTCGCTGGTGTTTCCAGCTCGTCTTCCGTATGAATGCTACTTGTCTTTCCACTTTCTCTCCCCTCTGCTTGTTCCGTTTGCGTCGAAGCCTGGAAAGATCGGGGTCCAGGGGGGCGACATGGCTTAGACGATAAACATCCCTTACAGCAGGATTGTATTGTGGATGGTTGGCCCGACTGAAGCTTCCGAGAAAACCGACTGAGGTGCTTTCTCCCGGTTGACCTCTTATTCCAATTGGGCTCTCGATGGGCAACCATCCGTCGTCTGAGAAATCCGGAAGGATTCCTCAGAAGCTCCCCAAGTCCCAAGTTGCTGGGACGGACGCAAAACCAAATGGCGCGAACCATGCCTCCAACTCTTATCTGGCCGACCCACCAAGAAATCCGGATCTGAGGTCATCTAAACAGGCCAAGCCGAGACTCAAGGATCAGCCAAAGCCCCATGGCGGCCGAGATGACGCGCCGGTGGACAATGTCCGCAGACGAAGCGGCATTGACCAACTCCCGGCGCTTCCTCAAGATGGCGCTGTCAACCCGCAGAAGATTGCTGGCTTGGGGAATAACGACACGACAGATGGGTCGATGGCTAATACCAGCAATGTTCCCACAGTTATTCGTGGGCAACATCGGCCGCCGCGGGACCGATCAGACCAGTCAGTGCTTTCCAAGTCCAATCCATCCCGTCATTGATTCGTATCCTTCCTTGTTACCATGTCCACTAGTATGCTAACTTTAGTCCACAACGTTTCAGATGTAGATCGGCGCAAATTGAGTCCTGTTCAGATTCTGTACCTGAGCTTAGACATTTAAGAAATAAATCTGCAGAACTTCATCACAGAGCTTACGACCGGGACACTCTTGAAAAGTTGGCCGGAGGACACCATATACAGGGCACATCGAGCACGCCAATCAGTCGCACGCAATCCGACGCTTCACTCTACATCCCGATCCGCCGGAGGTCCACCACCGAGACACCAGGTGTTGCAACCCGCCTAGAGTCTCCCGTCAAGGCTGCTCCGGCGAAAAAGAAGGACCCCCGAAGCAGCTTGCCTCCGGCCTTTTCTTCGTCTTTCAATTTCGAAGAATATGCGAACCAGATGAAGCGAAGACTGTCGACCCCATCATCGTTTACGGGACCGGAGAATTCAGTTCTGGTAGAAACACCCTCTGAAAACGACTACAAGCAGCTTGGCGTAATGAAGTTCGGATCATTAAGGATCACAAATGGCGGGCCAGCCTCGACTCCGGCCGGAGCCGTGAGCAATTCAAGTACGTCAGATGATGAACATGGCGATTACTTTGATCTACAGCACAGAGGACCTCGTGCGGGAGCTACGAACACAAAGACCGAAACACCAAAAGACGTCAGAAGAGAGGTGCCCGCGCAGCATCAAGCAGCAACAACTGAAAGAGGGGGTTCTCATAACGATAAGAGTGCTTCCACCGGCCTTGACCCCCAGCGGGATTCAAGTTCCTGGCCAATGGTACCAGGAACAACTCAACCTGATGGAAAATCTGCGAGTTCCCCAAACAACTTAGGATCACATGCCAACATGGCGACGAAAAGTGGCCAAACCACGACAGGGTCGACAATGAACCGATCGGACAGTGGTGTATGCTTGAAACACTCACCTGTAAGACCCAATGCACAACATTCAGACAGCGGGTACAGCTCCAGCCTCTCCCTCCGATCTATTTTTGGTTCAAAGAAAAAGCGGGAGATGGAGCAGAGAGCAGCCGAGAAGGAGAAGATGGAGCAGATACGTGCCCGGCGCGAAGAGCCAAAATCCGCTCCTTTCATGCAACAGGTTGCTCATGGGGTGCGATCGAACCAAACTCCTTCTGAGAAGCCAGCACAAGGGGTCGAACAGGCGCACCATGAAAGTATGAAAAGACACAATTCCGATTCCCATCCACAAGGAACTGCTGCTGCAGCCGTCCTTTCTTCGAAATTCTCAGCCTCACGATCACGTTCAAGTTCTACCCGTTCCAGGGAGGCACACACACGAACAAGCATCGAAGAGCCGCTTGCCAGGCGTTCTCAAGAGCTCTCGCGTTCGACTTCAAGAGGGAGGCTTAGGGCTGACTCTGGAAATGCTATCTCACAAGGACATGGGAAGAGCCAGAGAGTGACACAGTCAAACCAGGCCCATCCTATTCCCACGACCTCACCCGAAAAGTCTCCAGCAAGGACCCGGTCTAATTCTTCGCGCTCTGGAGAAAACGGAACTTCTAGAAAGATGGATGAAGGACCCGGGCTTTCAAAGCCAACCAAACTTGAGCGACTTTTCGGTAGCAGGCGGCGAAGCTTGCCTGATGTGCACTCTACACAACTTCTGAAGAGCCCTCCTCCTCCCATGCCCACCGATGCGCAGGAGAAGCTTCGAGAGCATGCATCAAATGTCTCAAGAAAGAGTCTTGATCAAAAGCGCACCGCAGAGCCCGGGCAGAAGCAGTCGGGAGCGTCAAAACCCTCACATCTTTCTCGCGCAGCTTCAATGCTTGTTTCCAAATCGAAGTCTAAATCACCTGAAAAACACCGACTCTCGAAACACTTCGAAGAAGACGAGGGCATAGATTCTGAATCCCTCATTGGGTTTGAGGCCCAGGTTGCAAGTCTTGCTAGTATTCGTAAGAGTGCTGGGAACAGCGCGTTTGACCAAGCTTTTGTTTCCATGTCTATCGAGTACGAAGGCTACGCCAGACTTGAGAGGATCGGACCCTCTAATAATGCACCAGTTCCGAAACATCCAAAGCAGCAGCCACGCCTCAGGACTAGAAGGTCTGCCCCCGAATTCCTCGAAACCGTCAGGGAGTCTGGAAACTTCAATGATCTGGACAGTTCCCTGGAAAATCTTCAAAGGGCGCCACCACCAGTTAGCCTTAATACCAGAGGCAGCAAGAAAAAGAGGCGATCAAAACACCATTCCAGCGGTCGTTCCCAGAATCTCGCGGGAGAATCTGAGCAAGTGCCACCACTGCCCCCGGCTCCGTCGAAGCGCCAAGCGGGCGATAAGTTTGACCCCCATCGCCAATATCTAAGCCACTCCCTACGTACTATCCCTATTGCATCTGCGGAGCACCACAGACGTGAAGAGAGTCCCAAAGATCCCCGAGAAAGATCTGCATCAAGGCACAAGTCGATGCCGCCTCACGGCTTCAGCCGTTCTGGTCGATCGCGACCCTACTTCCCCAAGCCTGGCGTTGATGGGCCGTCTCATGTTTCTGGCCAGTGCGCATCTGAGTCGAGCTTGAGCGAGATTTCTCCGGGTCAACCGGGGGACAGCAGGCCAGATGCACCTCCTTACCGAGTTTTGCATAGCTATAACTCACCATCTTATCGAGGCGTTCCAATCTGGAGTTCTTAGCGAAGATCGCAATTGGAACCCACGATTCTTAATAACAGGAGATGCACCTTATTTATTTACAACATACACGAAAATATTCACTCATTGCACACAAATCTTTCATTTCACAAATACCCTTCTCTTAAATACGGCCTCTACAATTGAGGTATTCTTCGCATAATTGCTTGATGAGAAACACGATTTTCATTATTATTATTTTTTTTTTGAG